TGGTCCTGAAGTCAGGAAGATTCATCCTTTTGAGTTCAAATCCAGCCTCAGACACTAGCCGTGCAACCTTGGGCAAGTCACTTCACCCCATTTGCCTCAGTTTCTTCTTCTGTAAAATGAGCTGGAGAAGGAAATGGCAAACCACTCCACTGTCTTTGCCAAGAAAACTTCAAATGGTTATCACAGAGAGTCAGACAAGACTGAACAACAGCATGTATACTTTGGGCCCTCGCTGGGATGTTATGATTTCCTTATCCTGGAGGGGAGCTAGGACTCTTCTTCTGGTCCAGTCAGGGTGATCAGATGAGAGTCCCAGTGCCAAGGAGCTTTTTTCTGGTTGTAGAAGACTAAGGCATGGTTTTATGTTTTCCCTCATCAGCACTGGCAGCTCAGCTCCAATCTCCAGCTAAGATGTTTATTTTGATTGGGGGTGTGTTTGAGCTATTAACTCTCTGTGCTTCGGATTTCTTATCTGTATGAGAATCTTAAGAGTCTCATCATTTGTTTCTGTAGCTGTGATGTGCTGGTAAAATGCCTAATGACTGACTGGGTGGGTTGGGGGGGGGATTTTTAAGTTTAATTTGCATTGTTCACATTTTCTCCATAAGCTCTGGAAAGCCAAATTTGAGTTGGCTCCAGCACAGCCCTGGTAGAGAAGCTGTGATTCTGGACCTGGTGCTGATGGGACCTGGGGTGAGGAGTTGGTCTGGGTAATACCAAGCAGGGAGGAGTAGCAAATAGATTCCAGGGAAGTAAGCTGAGGTAGGGAGTTGAAGCATCATACTCACAGTTTTCCACTGGTGTTGACTCCCAGAATTGTTGGTCCTTATTTTGCTCTTCCAGGTTGGCTGGTGGGCCACCTAGTAGAAGTTTACTCTGGGAAGCCACAGATGGAGGGTGGGGATTGGGGTAGGGGTGGGGAACGAGACAGGTGCTGGGGCAGGAGTCCTGGTATCAGCATAGTGCTTGACATTACAGTGCTTATGTAGGAGTTTATAATTTTTTAATGTAAATTTCAGCTTTAGATAACATCCCATTAGCCCTAATTTCCCCTTCCAATCTCTTTTTCTTTTGTATACTTTTTATTCTTTCACATTTTGAACAAGTCACATTTATATAGCACTTTAAGGTTTATAAACCTGTGAGACATTAGTGCCAGTAATATTATCCTGGCCTTATAGGGAGGCTAACTGATTTAAGCTCAATTTATGGGATCACAAGATTTAAAGCTGGATGAGACCTTTGAAACTGTAACCTAACCCTTTCCAAAATTTTACAGATGAGAAATCTGAAGCCCAGAGAATTAAAAGTAACTTGCCCAAATAGCAGAAACAAGAAATTCTGACTCCAAATCCAAGGCTCTTTCCCACTATGTGCAATGCTGCTTCTTCCTCACGGTCACACAATATGAACACATGTCAAAAAACCTGAGAATGTTCAGGGCTGGTGAGCCTTGTTGGAGTGTTGGCCTTCGAAGCCCACAACACTCTCCTGAAGTTGGAATTAGATTAAAATGTAATTGGGAAATATTTAACAAAATAAATAAAAATATAATTAAACCTTGATAAATACTAAATTTTAAAACTTAGTTGATTTGTGGCCACAGAGATCTTCATGTGTGGATGAGTGGCCCCTGTTTCTGTTTGAGTTTGACACCACTGATGTAGAGAGTATGTGAGTGGGAGTAGTGTGAGATAAATTTGGAATGATGGGTTAAAAGTAAATTGTGGAGGGTCCTGAATACTGGTTTAGGAGTGTGTAATTTATCATGTAGACCTGTGCATTTGGAAGGTAGAGATCATACCTCTGTGGTGGGTAGAAGTAAACATAAAAGGATCAGTGTTTTTATTGCTGGTTAATGGACAACAAAATTGTTGTTGTTTGTGCTTCCTTCTCAAAGAGTATCAATGACATCAGGAATGTGATGTCTTGATTTGTAAGTGAATTAGATTTAAGTGAGGCAGGGCTGCGCAACATCACGGGCTTCACACTCTCCTCCAGAGCCATCTGGGTCCAGGGGCAAGATATAGATGAGGACCACTGGAGATGGCCCCATATGCAGTGGGAGACCTTAATAGAAGAAGGAATATAGTCCCAGTTCTTTACCTGGCATTGTGTATTGCTCTGATTTCATTTTCATGCCAAAGAGGATGTTGAGAGTTAGATGGGATTCTTTTTCCTAGCCTCTACCAAATTCTAGTGGTTTTTCTTGTGTGTGTGTGTGTGTGTGTGTGGGGAGGATAGAGACGGGGAAAAGTCCCTGAAATATGTTTGTTTGTTTGTTTGTTAGATTGTATTCTATTTTTTTTCCATTACATGTAAAGATAGTTTTCAACATTTTTTAATGAGATTTTGAATTCCAAATTTTTCTCCCTCCTTCATCCCCAAGATGGTAAGCAATCTGACATAGGTGATACGCGTGCAACCACGCTAAACATATTTCCACATTAGTGATGTTATGAAAGCCTGAAATAGGTTTTGAGGATGAGGGCACAGAATCGGGGATTAAACAGGAGTTAAAAGGAATTTTCCAATCCTAAATCAGAGAGTTATCTGGGATTACTGGATCTCAACCAGCACTAGACAAAGGGAAGGGGGTGGAGTCAGTTATGCAGATTTTTGTTGGCTGTTCGGCTAGGTGAGTGTTCTTGTTCAGTAGTCATTTAGTGATTTACCCAAGTCACACAGCTGGTGTCTGAGGTCAAATCTGAACTCAGCACTCTATCCGCTGTGCCACCTAGCTGCCCATTCTATAAAGAAAGGAATTTTTAAAAGTGCCAAAGGCTCATTGCTCATCAAGCTCATCAAGCTGATTGGGGTCTCCCCTACATACAGAACTGAACATAACACCCCCAGATACGGTCTCACTAGAGTCTAAGTACAGCACAATTATCACTTCTCTTATGGACATTTCCTCTTTTAAGCAATAAGCATTTATTAAGCACTAATTATATGTGAAGCAGCAAGAAGACTCATTTTCCTGACTTCAAATCTGCCCTCAAACACTTCCTACCTGGGTGACCCTGGGCAAGTCACTTAACCCTATGTGCCTCAGTTTCCTCCTTTGTAAACCGAGCTGGAGAAGGAAATGGCAAACCATTCCAGTATCTTCGCCAAGAAAACTCCAAACGCAATCACGAAGTGACACAACTAAACAAAACAACAAAATGTATCAAACATTGTGTTCTGCAGTGAAAACACAAACGAAAAAGATCGTGAGCTCGCTAGACGCTAGAAGGTAGAGATAAATTGTTTTGCATCTTTTTGTGTCCCTAGGGCTTAGCACTGGGAGTAGCACATAGCAGGAGCTTAAATAAATGTTGATTTATTGAAAACAAAGTCCTGCTCTTGATGGATTTATGTTCTACTGGGAGGAAACAACATAAATAAATAAGTGGGGGAGAAGGCCACCAACTAATGAAAAGAGACCTCTTGAAGGAGGGGAGCTGAACCTTGAAGGGAGCTCCAGGAGGGGAGAAGTGAAGAGGAAATATGGTAGTGCCTTCCACAAAAATAAGAGGCTGCCAAAGTTAGGAGGGTGAGTTGACTCAGTTTTGTCATCTGTTAAATGGGAATGAAAACATCTGCAGTGCCTGCCTCGTGGGATTGTTAAGAAAGCCACATTTATAAAACACATCTGTAAAAGTCACAAAGCCACAGCAACAGGCTGGAATGTTACATAGGCCTGCTGTGTCTGAGCCGTGATCCTTGATGCTGGGAAGGCGCCAGCTGTCACTTCCACTCTGGGGATTCATCCTTCAGGTGCTCCAGCCTCTCAACTGCACCCCTCCTTCCTAGAACCAGAGGACCACGACCTAGCACACTGCAAGCACACTGATTCCTAGGGAGGAGGGGAAGGACTTGGAAGAGTCCAGGAACTCCGTTGGTCGGGGGCTGGGGGAGGGGTATTCTGCTTGCCGATGTGGAACGATCCAATCGGTAGCATCATAGGGAACATTTTGAATTAACTCAATAATGCTTCTAGAAGCAGGATCAAGTCCACATTGAATATCAGGAAAAGGGATGTTTTTATCCACAACTATAAGTATGTTGCAGAACTTCATAGAGGCTGAATGGGATGTCCCAGTGAAGACTTCTCAGTGTAATTAAGGTAATGAGTTCAGAAGGTAGGATAGGGTTAAGAATAGATTTCTGTGAGTTATTTTTTTTTAGTGACATATATCAGTAGTTAAAATTTGTCTAGTGGTTAAGTCTTAACTTACATTTTAATCTTATTCAAATGCATCTTTGCTCCTAAAGGAATCTGGCTCCAGAAAACCCTTAAAAGGTTCCTTATCTACTCCCCTCATCTCCCTTTGACAGGATCTTTTTTCAGATGTCTTCCAGTTCCCAGCATTGTCTGTTCAGTGCCTAAGACCTTCCAAAATAATTGTAAATTATCTTCCTAACTGCACATTTTTTATTGCTTCTTTGACATTATCTCAACAAACTAAGAAATATAGAGATGTATACTATGTCCTTTGTCCTATGTTAGAGTCTGGCTTGTGAGATTGTGAGCCGAGTTAATGGACAGCTGTGAGGGAGGGGGAATTGAACCTTCAGGGTTATATAAAATCGACTTCTACCTCTTCGGGTGGTCTCCCCTCATCAGAGCTTACTGATGGAGGGACACCCAAATCTCGAGATTTGAAATAATAATAATTACAGCTATAATAAATTAACTTTCTGCTTCTCCTTGGACACCTCTGTGTTTTGTTTTATTTTTAATTTGAGTGGCATCCCACACAAGGCTAAAAAAAACCCCAACTTAAACAAACAACCTAGGCTTCCCCTAGTGAGTAGAGCTGGGAGAGTCCTGAGCTCTCCTTCTCTTCCTAGAAAAAAGAGCTTGAGCCGATCTTGGCGCAGGGCCTTTTGGGTGATGTAGTTTCCTTTGAGCCTTCTTCTCCATTGGTCGAGGCCGGCCAAGGACAACATTTCCCAGCAGGCTCCGGAGGGCCGTAACTTGGTTGCGAAGGAGGAGGGTGTATTTTGTGTTCCCTTCCTTCCAGTGGGCTCTCGGCCGTAGCTGCTGCCTAGCGGGCCAATCGGAAGGCGCAGAGCCCCCGCGCTCCACGTCCTCTGATTGGAAGATTCAGACTCAAAAGTCCGCTTTCAAATCTTTAACGGGTAGCGAGTTGAGTTGCGGCAGCTGGAGGGATACTGCACCGGCTGTACGGACTGGAGGTGAGTGAAGGGGTTGCCTGACCCCGCGTCCTCTCCGTTTGTTCTCCAGCGTCAGTCCGCTCCCTCTCTTCGGAGCCCCGCAGCCTCCGGAGGGATTCGGGGGGGCGGTGGCTGTACCACGCCTTGTGGACGCCGCCTCCCTCGCCTAGTTTCCCGGGGCTTCTCCCCGGCCTCGCCCGTAGAGCTGGAGGTCTGGGTGGGCCTCGTTCCCTACCTCCTCCTTTCTTATCCTCTTCCTCTTTTCTCCAGAGAAAGTGTTGGGAGCGTTGAGGGGTCCAGCCGCCAGCCTCGCTGACTGGGGGAGGGGAAGCCTCTGGCATAACAACAGCAGCTCCCGTTTTATTGTGTTTTCCTCTCTGCAGCCCAGAGATAGGGAGAAAGAAGGTGGGCATCATTGGCCCTCTTGTACATCCCTTCCCGGGCTTTAGCATCCGCGTCAGGCTCCGGGGAAGTGACCGACCTAAGATCACTCAATTTCTGAGAGCTCAGGTTTTCTGGTTTCCAAGCATGTGGGTGGGTGGTTTGTTTTTTGTTTCTGTTTTCTTATATTTATTTAAAGGATTTAAGGTTTACAAAGCACATTTCCTTCCACTACCTACTGGTTGGGTTGTTAAATATTGTTCCAATTTTACACATGGGAGAAACTGAGGCTCAGCCAGGTGAAGTGATTCCCCCTCCCCACCCCAGTCACTATTAAAGTCTGCAGACATTAAAGACCTACTATGACCTCAGCCCTATGATAGGGAGTGGTGATGAAAAAACTTACTTTTCAGTGGAAAGTAGATTTGCAATCGAAAGAATTAGGTGTGAATCTCCACTCTGCTATTTAAAACCTCTGTGACCTGGGCAAGTCTCTTCACCTCTCTTAGCCTCAGTTTCTTTACTTGTGAAACTAAAGGAAGAGGGACTGGATGATGTCCAGGGCCTCTTCTAGCTTTCAATCTATGATCAATCCCTACCCCCTCAAGAAGCTTGCTTTCTGTTGGGCAGACTAGAACATGTACATGTACATAGATGAGTGAGAGTAGTAAAAGACTACTGATAAGTGGAGCCGGGGGCCAGTTAGTAGTTCCCAAGTTGGGACTCTTAACTTATCTTTTATTATCTATTGATATTCTTCCCACTAGGAACAGATAGCATTCTTATTTTAAACACGTGGAAACGAAACCTGAGAGAGGGAGTCATCCTAGAGTCTGGTCAGTTACTACCCATGTGACCTTGGATTGGATGTTTAATCTTTGTAGGCCTTAGATGGCATCTCTGAAATGAGCAGCTCCTCTTCCTCCTCCTCCTGCTTTTCCCTCCTCCCCCTTTCCCTTGGAAGAGATCATCCTTGTGCTTCTTTTGTGAAGCAGCAGCTGAAGAGACCCCCCCCCACCCCCACCACCACATTTACTGTGGCCAGGATGAAGGAAGGGGTCAACACTGAAAACAACGACCACATTAATTTGAAGATGGCAAGGCAAGATGGTTCAAGTGGTGCAATTTAAGATTAAGAGGCACACACTACTTAGTAAACTAATGGAAGCCTATGGTGAATGACAGGGTTTGTCAGTAAGGTAGATCAGATTCCGATTTGATGGGCAACCAATGAAACAGACACATCTGCACAGCTGGAAATGGAAGATGAAGATACAATTGATGTTTTTCAGCAGCAGATAGGAGGTGTCTACTGAAAATATAGCCTGCAACTCTATTCCAGAACTGTGCTCCCAAGGAAAACAATACATTCACAATTAGAAAACCAAGATTTGGTTCATCCACTTCCTGACTACTACAGTATAGTTTTCTCTCTTCTTTGATTCCCTTCCCTCATTCCTTTATTATACATAAAGTAACAGGTGTATGTGCACAGGCATAAGGCGTTTTTTTTTTAACTAAGTGGCTGATGGTATGTTTTGTTTTGATCAACATCAAATGAAGGTGGGGAAGGGAAAAAACAAATTGGTTCTGTAAAAATGTCCCCTTTTTCCATTAGTGGCATGCTCATTCAACTTTTATCTTTACATTCCAGTAAGTTATTTTGCTCTCGCTGTTGAACTACAGCAACAAAAAACCTACAGAAAAATCCTTGCATACCTTGTTTGACTGGATGATTTCAATGTTTTTCTTTTATTATTGTAAAACCAAAGATGATTTTATAAATTTTTTTGTACGTAGCTGTTACATATGGGGTAATCTCTGTCTCTCAGTAGCATTTTCCCTTCAAGTCAAACATCTTGTTGTTTAACTAAACTTCTTGTTTAAAATAAATAAAGTGAAGGGGGTTTAGACTAGAACGTCTCTGAAGTTTCTCCTAGCTCTGAGTCTCAACCTAAGTGACTTAACCAGTCACACAGGTAGGGAGAACTCTCCCTCTCAGAACTGAGGTCTTGTAGTGCTCCCATCCACACGATATAGTTGAAGGAGCATCAGATTTGTGGTTGGAAGATCTGGGTAAGGTTTAAAACACTATAGAAACAAAAGTTATCAGTCAGCCAATGAGCGTTAATTAATCACTATGTGTCAGACACCAGTAAGCCCTAGAGATAAATCTAGTACCTTTTTACATGGCTTCACTTCTGATTTCATTCTCTTGTATTGATGTTGCATCTTTCTCCCTTGGACATCTTTTTCCTGCCTCCCCAATCCCTGGTTATCGTGAGGGCAAGAAAAGCTCTTGAATCCCCAGTGCTTTTCCTAGGACACTTCTTTTGTTTAGGTGGTAATAATGCCCAAGTACCTATTCTGCAGTGGACTTTGCTTCTCTCACAGTGTTCCTGTTGAATTTCTCTCATTCATTATTGTAGGCAGGGCTTCCTATGTGCTAGACACTTTGGGAATGCAGAAGTATGAAATGTAGCACTTACTCCAAAGGAGCTTCTTTTCCATTTAAGGATGTACAAAACATTTTGAGACTAGTACAAGTTAGTTTCTGATATATCTTTCAAGGAACCTTGAATGATTTTGATGTATGGATCCAACATCTTGTTGGAAGAGAACTTTCAGGTGCTGTTTTCTGGTTCCAATTTTTTTTTCTGTGATCAATAGACAATAAGCACATTGAATGAACTTGTATTCTCTACATTTTTCAGACTGTTTGTGATGGTAAAGATGTGTTTCATTGTACAATATAACAAAAGTCTGCCTGTTTCCTGCTAAAATCCTTCATTGAAAATGATCTGTGTGTGTCAGTGGGTCTCAGAGATTTTTTATAGCTGTGAGACAAGTAATACAGTCTCTTATGTGTTGAAAATATCACCCAGAAGACAATAGAGACATGCATGGTGAGTGTCAGTAGGTTAATAAAAGTCATCAGTGAGGAAGAAGAACAGCAGTAAAATAGAAATAAAGAAAGTCGTCAGAAAAATGTACAGAAAAGAATATGGGCTGGTCATATTGGGGACAGTTGAACAGCCCAAGTGTTCAACTGTTATCCTTTTTATGTCAAGAGAAAGCAAGAAAGGCCTTCACCTTATGTACATCTTGATCTAACATGGCTTGGCAGTAATGATTTGGGATCTATGTTGTTGGAAGGAACATTAAATGAATGAGATAATAGATTCATCTTAGTATAAACTGGTTTATCCCTTAGTGCTATATTGTATGGTACCTGCTGTAAGGCCTAATAGTAGCCAGGAGGAGAGAGCTGCCTGGAGGAGCTAAGAAGAAGTAGTGAATTATCTGTCAGTAGTGGTCTTCAAGCAGAGCCAGACAGACACTTTTTCACAAAGCTATGGAGATGTTTAATGCTTCAGGTTTGGATTGAACTAGCTGGCCTCTAACAGTCTGATCACTGAAGGATAGACTAATTTTGGGAATGCTTTCATAGAGAAGATGGAAAAGATTTAGCTTCCTTAACTACAGGTCCATGAACTTAAATAATTTTTTTGGCAACTATATTTAATATAATTTGTTTCTTTTATAATCTCATATATTTTAATTTTATTCATTGAAAAACATATTTCTAAATAAGGGTCCATAGACCTCATTAAGCTGCTAAAGCAGCCTATGATACAGAAGGGGTTAAGATTTAGATAGAAGAGAGAGAAGAAATGAGGGGAATGAGCATATCTTGTGCCCAGGTACTATCTCTTAACTATTGTCTAATGGACTAATGTTTAGACTTTGTCCTCAACATGATTTAAATAACCAGTTGATTACATTCAGCCTTTTTGGAAAGTTGTCTTAAACTTCTGTTTGAATTATCTGGTTTAAGAAGGGATAGCTTTCCTTTAGCATCTATCCAGCCTTAGGTTTGTCGATTCAGCCTTCATGAAATTGACTTCTCACCTCACTAAAATGGGAAATGTCTAATAGAAATTCTTTGTTGTCTTATTTGGTACAAGTAATTAATTACTTTTTTTGAAGTGAACATAGTTCTTGAAAATCTCTATATGTTGGCCAGAGAGCAGGGAGACACCTCTATCGCCATTGATTTCTACCTAGGGTCTCAGGTGTTAATTCATTAATATGAAAGCGTTAACTCCATTAGTGAAACAAGAATCTGTGATAATCCAAGTTAAAGAAGATGACTTGTCACCAGGAAATACATATCATTTTGTAAAGGGGGTCTACAGAGTATTACTCTGCAGTAAGAAATTATAAGTTCAGAGCGACATGAAAAAATCTGTATGAAATGATGCAGAGTGAAATAAATAGAACTTAATAAGATATATATACAATGAAATAAAATATACAGTGTATAATATAATAATATTAACATTGTAAATGCAAAGACTTCCTCTTTTTTTCTTTTTGGTGAGGCAGTTGGAGTTAAGTGACTTGCCCAGGATTACACAACTAGTAAGTGTTAAGTGTCAGAGGCTGGATTTGAACTCGGGTCCTCCTGACTCCAAGAGCTCCATTCACTGCACCGCATAGCTGCCCCAAAAAGACTTCTAAAAGGAAGTTGAACTCAAGAATAATTGAAAAACCAGTGAAGGTTCCATGGAACAGATGATGAAACATACATTGGGACCCCATTTTCCTTCACCTAGGATTATTCCTCTTCTTCTCTT